GTTTTGTAAAAATCGACGCGTTTCAAAAAGGCGGGGCATAGAGGAGAAACAATAATGTACAGTATGTGGAAAATAATGTGTTTTTTGAACCTTAAACCGCATAAACACATTTCATTACACCAAATACACAAAATAATGTTCTTTTTAGCAGCATCATATGACCCCTTTAAGCAAATGTGTCACCATGAACCTAAAAAAACATATAGTCACAGTATTCTCACCTAACATTTTGCTGACATAAGGCTCAATGTCCACGTCCTGGAGATGCTGGAAGGTGTGAGCGTGGAAGAGGCGGAGGGTGGAGTCTAGCCGGATGGACACCCAGATACCGTCACCCACCCAGGCCAGCTGACGCACTTGACTCTCCTTACGCGGGTGGGCATCAAAAGACTTCTGTTTCACGCAAAGAAAAAAAAAAAATCACAAGCAAGTTCAGAAAATTCCATTTAACTAATACTGCATGCAACACATTTCTCAAAATGCAAAAACTAATACAGTGAATATGAAGACATAATTATGGACCTCTATTTTCATTGCTCTGGGCTGAATCACATAGATCTTGTTCCTGTAGCCACACCACACTTTATCATGCACAATAGTCATGCAGCGGATCGAGTGATGTGGCCGGCCAAGGTCCAAGAGGTGGTAGTTGGTTAAATCCCACTGGCTGTCTGTAAAAGTAGAACGAGGAAGCTTTTAGCAAGTAAACCTCAAATTGAGAGGAGTATCTGAATTATTTGTAAACTAACAGTGTCTTACCAAGACCTCTGTGAAAGATGGCCAGTGTACCGTCAGTCAGAGCCACCAAAACACGGCCTTTCACATGTCTGAGTAGAGAAATAATGTTAAATGTCACTAGAACTCATGTTTGCTGCAGTGTTTTTTTGTCACCTAAATACTGAATGAAAGTGCTACTGAATAAAAGTATAGCTAAAAAGCAAAATTCACAAGTCACTTTATCATCTGGTTACATAAACTCAAATACGAAAACAACAATATTCCAAAAGTTACACTATATTGCGGAATTAATAATGTCACTTTCAACTTACACAATGTTCAAGATGGAATCCTTCAGCTTGACAGCATGAAGACACTTCCTCCATCGAGCGACCGATGAGTGCACGTATAAACTACATGAAAGACATTTGCAAATGACAAATGTTAAACTCTCAGATTGTTTTTGCAACATAAAACATTAATGCTATGATAGAGTGTACATTAAACAGCTCTCTAAATAATTTCTCAATGCAGTGCAGTCGCTATACTGTAGATCTTGGTCAAAGTTCACTACATTTAATTTGGCACATGTTGATTGTTCAGCTAACTTTTTAATATCTCTGGATTCTGGTTTAATGATTCATTAATTTACAAGCATCCAAAAAAGCATGTCTAATCAATTGAATTTATAAAACTAACAATTTAGTTATGTATAAACTTTATGACAATTGATAGCGCCCTATGATATCTGTATTAATGCTTTCCCAAATGTAATTTTGTTTTTCCCAAATTATTTGTTGTTTGCAGATTTTTTTTTTTCTAGATTCCGTTTTATAATTTAATAGAATGTTTTCACCAAAAACAGTGGAATAAATTATTCATCACAAATTCATTTTTTACTTTTAAATCAGCCTTTTAAACAGTAATCATCTGAAAACAGAACAATTGGTTTACAACAAAACATTGGATTTTTTTTCAAATTAATTAATTATCAAATAAAGTGCAGAACATTTGTACTTTTTTGTCAAATAAAATGTTTTTCATAAATTTAAATACTTATTTAAATTCTTGATTGGGTGATGTCCCTTAAAACACATGTTAATGAATTTTTATTATTATTATTAAAGTTGACGAGTACATTTTACTGTAAAAAAAGTGATATATTTACATCAATTTCTTCAAGTTTTAATCAAGCTTTTATTTTGGCAGAGCAGGTCTGGAGATGAAGTTCATGTAGAGTTCCTTCACATAGTGAGACGACAGATGCTGAAAACACCATGAGCGTCATGCATGCTTGAGTATGTGTAGTAAATGAAACCGTGCTATTCATTCACACAGAGACACGCAGAACAGGCAGACTGGATGTTTAAATTAAGTCACAGGCACAAGGCCATATCTCAGTTTGAATTTAATTAATTGTGCAGCTCTACTTTTGATTTAATCTGCTATTTCCACATCATAGAAAACAAATGGCTTTATTTTGTGTGTGTTTGTGTATTTGTGTGCATCTCTCACCAGCCGTTCTGAGCCCCTAGCCACATGGTAGGCAGTGCGCTGCTCATCCGCTGGATCTCTTCTTTTGCCAGATTCGTCTTTTCACCTGCTGAGGCCGTATCGTCCCTGTCCTGATCGGACTCCCTGACAAGGAACCCAATCAAGGATGAGTTCTTATCCAAATCAGGATATAAATCAACAATGATAAAGATACTGTGCCCGGCTCACCTCTGGTTATCGTTGCCTGCTGAAGCCCCAGAAGACTCTGTTCCCAGTGGGTCCGTAAACACGTGCTCCGTGTAGATTCCTGGCTGGCTGGTGTCCTGTCCCGGGCTCTCCTGGTCTTCCTCAGTGGCCTCCATAGCCTCCTCTGCTGCAGGGACCCCTTCTTTACTGGGAGCTCTGGAAAGATCTACAACAGAGAAACTTCTGTCACGTTTCCTTTTAACCCCTATAAACCCCATATTTGATAAGCAGATTTCTGGGTCCTTTAAAGTTATCAACATGGCCAAAACTTGAAAAATTTGTTGTACACTGTCGTCTGATTGATAGTTTATATTTTATTAGCAAATAAAGTATTTTTAGTATCATTCTAAAAGCGTCCATCTTCAGGTCATGTGTCTTTTTGATGTGAAATATTTTCAGATTTTTATAAGCGTTAATAACTTTTATATTGTTGTTCGTAATATTTCAAGATGAACACTTGATGGACTGAAGCAACTTAGGTTTACTTGATTATCCATACATCATTTTTTTAGAAAAATTATGTTAAATGTATCGAATATGATACATCAGGCTTTTGAGGAACATTTATTATTCTCTCAATCATCATTGTATTGCATTGCATTTCATGTTTTGCCCCACAATAAAAACTAAGCATTTAAATATCATCTTACTAAGATATATTATTGGAAGATAAATAGTGACAACTGATATTTGTATGCATTTTATGTAAGTACTCTGTTATACTGTTATAAAAAAATATCACTGAAAAACATTGCAGAATTTAATCTTACTTTTTGGCCATATAAATATCAGCAACTGCACAAATTGCATATTTTTGCTCCGTTTTGGCATCTGTATATGAAATTTGAATTAGTTTTTTCCTACTGAAGTATGAGATCCATATTCTCAATATATTATACTATTTGAGCCATAAATGCCTGATGTTTTAAATATGATTCTCAATAGATTTTTAGATTTTGGCTAAAGGTTCAGTAAACTGTTCCATTTCATTCAAATTCAATTTTTCAGACTATTATTTCACCTACCAGAAATTACATGGTTAAACTTCGAACAGCTCATCCAAACAAGTAGTCTGATAGACAATAGACCGAACTATTGCTTCTATAAAAAGTTGTCAAAACTTATTTCAATTTACACTGAGGTTTAAGTCAGTTCTTACCACTTCCTCTGGCAGGACTCTGTTCTGCTGACCGTTCGGTGGTCCCTGTGCTGCCCGTCTGAGACCCTGTGCTGGCCTCTTCAACACTGCAGCCCACCGCTGACACGTCACTCAACACACCCTCACTGCCCTGAGAGCTGCTACTGGCCAATAAAACGTCTGGTCCCGCCTCCAGGTCCTGAGGAATCTCCTCCCCTGCAGGATAGTCTGTCTCCAAGACTCCTGGAAATCACAATACAGTACATAAACAACATTACTGAAATCCTTTATATTTAATGCTATTGTCATTAGTTTCCTAAAAGTTAATTGTATTAATGATGTGAATCATTTCTCCACTCCCATTTCCATCTGACACCAAGACGCCCAACCCCAACGTGTGACAACAAAGGCAAGTGTACATTTACAGACACTACATCATACTTACCACTGCAAACATTCACTTACTTTGTTGCCTTTCAAATACCTGCAGAATTGCAAGCAACAAAACATGCACTTACTTCACCAATTCAGCTTGATCATTTCAATTTCAAGTGAAACAAATATATTTTGTTTCCCATGTATCTCTGGTGTCTCAGTCATGTGACTAATGGTGCTCAAAGGCTATCTAGTGCCATTAACAATGATCTACACTGAACATGTTCCAAATCGATCATTAAACAACAGGTTTTTGATTATCTAGTGATTTTTCTTGCAATTTTGAAGGGGGTTCCAGTACAATGTACGGCTGCACGATTAATCTTCTGGGAACACAGTGTGCACCAGGTTCACATTTACATAATTTACTATGTTTTTCTTGAGACAAGGTTACAGTATTTACAGTATAAACACAGAAACTTGTCTTTTATTTTACTTTTTGTGTTTATTTTGTAGTTTTCTGCCAGCAAGATGGTTAAAATGCTGGGAAGTGAAGAAATAAAAAAAACTAGTGCTGTCAAACGATTAATCGCGATTAATCGCATACAAAATAAATGTTTTTGTTTGCATAATATATGTGTGTGTACTGTGTATATTTATTATGTAAATACACACACATGCATGTATATATTTTGAAAATATTTACATGTATTTACATGTCTATGTTTATATTCATATAATTTATATTATAAATAAATATATTGAATTTTCTGAAATATATACATGCATGTGTGTGTATTTATATATACATAATAAATATACACTGTACACACACATATTATGCAAACAAAAACTTTTCTTTTGTGTGCGATTAATCGCGACTAATCGTTTGACAGCACTAAAAAACAAATATTAGTATCATAATTTTACTGTTGTAGTAAATAAAACTATTAATATAATTAATATAATTCTTTTTTTCAGTACAATTATTATTACAATAGTAATATATGGCTTAATTATTAATTAGTCAAATATATCATAAAAAGTCTTAATTAGTCTTTTAGAGTTACAATAATAATAATAATGATAATAAATTGTTTTTATTGATTGGTTTCCTAAAAACAAGTGTGAATGTAATATGGACTAAGACACTATCATAACTAAAAGGAGGTTTGAGCCCAATTTCAACTTACAAAGTCAATGCAAAGAGACTTTTTTACTCCATTAAGTTTGGACACTAGCTTGGTTTGAGTTGGTTCTTTTAAAGATTAAAAACAAGAGTAACTACTTCTATTGAAATCAAAGCGTGGTCTCTCTGTTCTTTTTGCCTGGATGTCTTAGCAGCATCAATATCTTCAAGAAATGTTAATCATAACACAGCTCAAATCACAATCAGAATGTATGACAAAATAATCACAATATAATTTTTGCCCAAATAATACAACTCTAAAGTTAACAATAATCTATATTTACTCCATTTAGTATTAGTTCAGTTTAATAATGATAAGCTATTTATGCCTATGATTGAAAGACATGACAGAGATGAAGTGAGAGATTATTGTTATGAGAGATGAATACTGCTGACCTGGTACGCTGGCGATACACAGCACACATGAGTTACAGACGTAGAAGCTGTCGAGCAGGTCGTCGGGCCGCGTCACATCCATGATCATCACCTTTGTGGAGGAGTGAGTGCTCGTACAGATCCAAACGCGACTGGACATCTCCACATGCACCGTCTGCTCCCGTTCCTGCTCCTGTCAACACACACAATATCACTGCATGAAGAACCAACACTGGAAATGTTACCTATGAGGTATGTGTGTCTTTATGTGGGTCTGATGCATTTTAATACATCACAATGACTCTCTCATGGGAATCCAAGCCTAAATACCTAGTTTAAATGACCCCTTTTGTAGCTTTTTATTTTGTAATAATGTTAGTCAAGATTTCTTACATCAAAACCAGTCTTTATTTAGTTTTTTGACAATTTTGCACCCTCTCTCTGAATTATAGGTTTGTGCCACTGTGCCTTTCTGTATGTATATGGCTTCTATATGTAAATGACCTTTATTATGATTGGCTAGTTTCTTCGCATTTCACATAAGTTCTAAATACTGAACAGGCTATGTAAATGTGGGTGGTCATATGCTAATGAGCTCACACTTGTGAAGCCATGACTATGACTATTGTGTTATTAAAATATGTCTACTTTCTACATCAAGCTCTTTTACGTCAAACAATATGGCCCCTTTAAACGTTTAGAGAAATATTTTACCTTAGGTTCCTGCTCCAGCTGATCTAGGCTGCTCTGAGAGCCTTTCCTCTGTTTGGAGGCGTCTGTCTCCACCGTAGACTCTTCACCAGAAACGCCCGAGCTTCCCTCACATGACCGCCCACCTGAGAGGTTCACTCCAGCTGCACACAGGAGCTGCGCAGGGGAAATCAGGAAAAAAATATCAGAGGCTGACAACAGGCTGAATTCACATAGACGGAGACTTCATAAATGTAAGCAAGACTACTGAAGTATGGCAACAAAACATGCTGATTTCAATTATGATTTTAATTCATTCATCTTTCTTCACCTTCATAGAAGCATCTTTCTGCTCCAGTGGCCTGAGACACACAGGAACAGGTAGGTTTATTTTGTTCTCCGTGTGGCCACCATTAGCAACCTATAAAGAACAGGATAGCAGTACAATTATAGATAATTCTTTTATCAAAAGTAGAAAATGTGGAATTAATAAAATATAATGTTGCATTGTTGCAAATAGTTCTTAAGAGCAAGATAACAGTACAATTACAGATATTTTACAAAAAATGTGAAAATATGGAATTAATAAAATAAAATTTAACAGTTAAATTTAAAAAGTAAAAAAGTTAAATAACAAAAAAATTAAAGTTAAATAACAAAACAAAAATAAATAAAATGTTACACTGTTTTTCCAATAGTTAAGATTACAGTACAATTATAGATTTTAAAAAAAAAATCAGCAGCAGAAAATGTGAAATTCATAAAATAAAATAAAGTTTAACAAAAAAAAAAATTAAATGAAAAAAAAAATAATAATAAAACTGTTACATTGTGTTACACGTGATAATACATGGGGCATGAGACATTTTTGAGCAATGTTGCCAGGCAATTTTTTGAGCGATGTTGCTTAGGCACTTTTCCATTAAGAATGGGCAACAAACTTCTATCTGGATACTTTAGATCGGTCGTGGGCTCTGTGTCTCACCTGGTTGCCCCCTGATGGCAACATTACCCAGCAACATTGCTCAAAAGGTTGCCCTGTGTATCATAGGCTTTAGAGATATTTTACAAAAATTTAAGTAGAAAATGTGGAAATAATAAAACAATAAAATAAAAGGTGTGTGGTTCCTGTTTTGTCAGCCAGAAAAACGTCTCGGTTACGTATGGTAACCCTCGTTCCCTGAAGGAGGGAACGGAGACGTCACGTCGGATGACCGACGAAATTGGGATCTCGCTTAGAGGGACCAATCTACTTCGAGTGTAAACTAAACGAGCCAATGCACATTGGCATGCGATTATTGCATCCAGCTGCTGCTGATCACAGCGTGAGTATAAGTAGGCAGCAGATGCAGCGCATATTCAGGTTTTCGCTGAGGAGCCGAGCCGGTGACCCGGCCGCTCAGCGGTGGTACAGGAGCTGTGGCGACAAGTTATGCTCAGAGTCCAGAGCCTCGATCATAACATTATAACAGGCACTTTCCGAGTAGAGAGACCTGCACTATCGTGGGACCAAACACAAGAGAGTGCGGCGCGGGACAAAACTTAATGGGCGAGTGCAAGTGTGGGTGGGTAGAGACTCGTGTGTGCGGGGTGCGTTAGAACAAGGGTGTACTCACACTAGGCAATCTTAACCGTGCTCTAGCGCGTCTGACCCCCAATGCCCGGTTCGTTTGACTAGTGTGATCGTTCCATGCCGCGGTTCATTTAGCCGTCCCTGGCTCGGTTGGAAGAGGTGGGTCAGAGCGCGGTTCAGTTGGGCTCGGGCGCGGTACGCATGTAGTGTCGGAGCGTGGAACTTCTGATACGTGCAAGCACGATTGCGTGAATATTTCTGAGCGGCAAAAGTGATAGATCTGTAAAGCAATATATTGTGAGAGGGCCATGTGTTACCGCATCCCAAACGACTCAAAATAATAAACCACAAAGTTAACAAAGCGATGCACTCCACTGTGCTGAGCGAGAGGACTTCTCTGCTGCCTTCACGTGCTATCGGAAACTTCCTATTTCCCACATATGAAGTTGTGAGCGCTTCATGCGAGCGCTGCGCTGCTTGCAGTCTTGGCCCTCCCCAAATGCTCTCATTGGTATCTTGAGACACGTGATGACACCCATCCCAAGCCTGTGCCCCATGGTTTGTCTGTATGTGTATTCAGAGCCAGTGAGCAATAATAATAAACTTTCATAATAATAAAAAAAACAGCGTTAACGCGCGATAACGTGACAATAACGCATTAACTTGCCCAGCCCTAATATATTCATATGCACATAACAGCACTGTGATTTACTTGAATGTTGTACTAAGAAAAACATTATAATTCTGGACCTACAAAATCAAATCAAATCAAAATTTGCCTTGTATTTGCCAGGGAGACTCCAGCCATGTGCTGTGACCCTGCCGTCCTCCTTCTGAACATGGGCTTTCACATGCTGGTATTGAGCGCGCTTCTGCTCCCGGCGGGACAGAGAACCACTCGAGTCCACCCTGATGGAAGAAGTCCAGAAAAAGTGAAGAGGGGATTAAAGCATGATGAATTGTGTCATGTTTGTTAACAGTTTGGTGTGCTGTGTGATGCCAGACAACACCAAAATATGTGAAAAAACACTGCTAAATGCATATCATAAAATGCAGATAATCATATAATACTTGATACAAATATATGCATTTCATGTTAATATTAATCAGTTTCAGAGTTTGATTTTAAAGACATTTTGGTTTCACTATAGTTTTGTTGCTGCATTTGTTTGCCTCTTGATGCACATATAAAAAAAAATGCATCCTGAATTTTATTTTACTCAAAAACTTGAAAATATGTTTGACGGTTAAATAGAAGAGTTACTCTTCTTTGAGGAAGTCGAACGCTTTGGACTTTTCTCTTGGGAACTGGGAGAAGGTGTTGCTCTTTTTCATGATGCTGGGTGGGTTGTACTTGACGTTGGAGGGTAAACCTCTCGCTGTGTTGCTGGACGTTGAGGAACTGGAGGAACTGAACAGGCGACTGAAGCTGAAACAGGACATACAGAAAGACAGGTGTGAAGAGGCCAAGCTCACATTTGTGATCTGTGTGACTAAAATTTGAGATAAGGGTCTTACAATTGCCTGATGCTTGACCTCTTCTTCTCTGCAACTTCAGAGTTTTCCCGTGAAGCTCTGTGGAAAAACAAGACACATCACTGTAGGAGAGCCGTGAGCTAGATGTCTGCGCGGGACTGTTTTTTTAGTCCCGCTCCCGCAAGGTTCTATTCCGCACCCACCCGCTCCCGCTATATATTCACTTTTTGTTCGCCCGAAATTTCACTATTCTATATGTACAGTAAACTTTAGCACATGTTGTACACCTTCAAGCGTGAGACTGTCAAATTTTATTTGTAACCATTTTTTATGTGTACTGCATTTTTGCAGAACTGAGAAATGACTGCCTAGAGATATAGCTATAGTCTTGTGTCAGGAGACCAAGAAACTGCTATGGTACTGTATACTGTAATGAAATTTGGCCAAATGTGCAGAGGATGCAAAAATGTACTTTTTTTAATTTTATTTTTTACTGTACTGTATTGTGGTGCATGCCAAGTTCATACAATTCTTTGGTATTTGAACTTTTCTAGTGCTTTTCATCTACTGCAAGATTACTTACAGTCGTAAAATGAAAATGATTTTTTTTCTCGAAAGGTTCATTGCTGAATTATACATCTGTATCTGTAATTTAATTTATGTATACTGTAATAGACATTGAGCTGCAAAAATAATTCCTGAATCCTAGTAAGAGTTTTTTGGTACAGTGTTATTGATCTCAGTGTTCACTGGGCAGGAAAGTCATCTGTGTATTTGAATTGTGTGTAAGCATTTACAGTTTTTTACTAGTCTTGTGTCAGGAGACCAAGAAACTGCTATAGTACTGTATACTGTAATGAAATTTGGCTAAATGTGCAGAGGATGCTAAATGTACTTTTTTATTTTATTTGTTACTGTACTGTATTGTGGTGCTTGCCAAGTTCATACAATTCTTTGGTATTTGAACTTTTCTAGTGCTTTTCATCTACTGCCAGATTACTTTACAGTAGTAAAATTAAAATGATTTTTTCCCCCAAAAGTTCATTGTTGAATTATAATGTATCTGTATCTGTAATTTAATTTATGTATACTGTAATAGACATTGAGCTGCAAAAATAATTCCTGAATCCTAGTAAGAGTTTTATTGTTACAGTGTTATTGATCTCAGTGTTCACTGGGCAGGAAAGTCATGTGTATTTGAATTGTGTTTAAGCATTTACAGTTTTTTTTTCAACTGCTTGCACACAAAATCTTTCCTTGTCACACAATTTCTGAAAGCTGACACTCAAACACCAGAAGCACACACCAAATCTGCAAAACCATACACTAATTCTCAGCCTTTGACTCGTTTTCAATTTCATAAAACCCTTTTTGCAAAACACAACACACAATTCTCTATGTAACACACAAAAATATAACAGGAATTAATATTATGGCAAAGGTGTTTGCAAATGTTTGCGTTTGAGATGTGTTTGTGATATTTTGAATGCAGTGCTTCATTTTGCAAGAGATGTGAGGCATTTTGCATTTTGTGTGTGCAAGTTTGCTAATCAATGTCTTCAGGATCATTAGAAAATCACAGGTAGGTTTGTTTGATGATAGGGTTGGAGCTAAACTCTGCAGGAAAGTGGATCACGCGAGCCAGATTTGAGGATCACTGTTCTAGATGTTTGCTAAAGTGTTGCTTGTTGGTTGCTAGGATATTCTGGGTGGTTGCTAGGCTCTTGCTATGCAGTTGCTGGGGTGTTGCTAGAGTATATGGTTGATAGAGTTTGTTCTGGGTGATTACAGACATTCCCACCTCTGTTAATAACAGAAAATCAAACATAGTTTTCAAAACTGATCCAGTTTCAGTGCTTTGATATTATTGTATTTCTTTCTAATGTTTGGAAATTCAAAAGTTTTTGTTGCTCTTAAACTTGCACTAAACATGATTTATACCATCTAAGTAGCCTATGTTATTTTAATAGAACCGCATGTCTTCTTTAGTGATACAAGCTCAGAAACATTTATAACCTGTTTAAGTTTTTATATTGTGCATTGACTTGGTGCCATGATGGATATTGAAATGTTGTTATTTATTTTTCATTTTAAACAGTAGATGATTACTTAATGGTTATAAAATATTTGTGAACACAACTGTGTATGTCAGAACATAAATCCCCAAAAACTATGCGTGGGGGCTTGCTTTGGTGTTGCCACCCCTCATAGACCCCATGCCCCTTTGCCACTCTAAAGATTATTTTCTAGACCCGCCCCTGTTCCGCTCTGTCACTCATCGACAACCTGCCTGTTCTGTCCGAGGACCGTATTTACCACCGGTAGGCTACAGCCTGCTCTGAGCATCGTTATACACATGCTGCGCACAGACCTCGCAAATAAAATGTGTGACTCAGAAAGCGCTGGTTCATGCGTGCAGTGCGTGCATAACAGTCCTGAGTGCAAGCTGTAAGCAAGCTCCGGTGGTCAATAAGAATAAAGGACAGATATGTTGTTCTGAAAGGACGTCGGGAACGAGATATTGTTAGACCGCCCGCTCCCGTTCAAATTACACCAGAGTTACCGACCGCGACCGCGTTTTATTCGGGAATTTAATCCCGCGTCGCAAGAAATCTGGTTGGGTCCCGCGGTTCCCTTCTCCATGTGACGGAGTGGGGTTTTTGTTCAAGAGCCAGAAAAACTGCCCTACTTTCTTGGACGATTAGTTTGAGAACAGAACTCAAGCTGAGCATAAAAAAAGATGGTCTGGTCAGACACTGAAGGCAGCAGAAATAAACGGTAACATCTTCATTATAAATGTGATTTGCTTGGCTGCTGTACAATTACATTATAATTATAGATCGATATAAAATACATTTTAAAGTAAAATTCATAATATTATGTATAACAACATGCTCATAACCATCTATTTTGGACTGTAGAGCAAATTAGAGATATCCTTTGTTTACCGGATCATTTCCGTCCACCTGACGGCCTCCTGCAGCTCCATCAGTCTCTCCTTGTACTGGTTTCGCTCCATCAGGACTCGAGCCATCTCCACCCGCGTGAACCTCCTCCTCTGAGCAGTGGGCACATCGCTCTGCAGAAACCCAACGGAAGGGGAGACGAAGTTACATACACCATTTGGGCCTAACAATTATTATTTTAACATGTATTAATCGTTGCATGTTGTTTTAAAAGAAATCATGTAATATGGTGAACTAAGGAAATGAACAGTTCACCTAAGAATGTATTTTGAATATGTATTGGAGAGTAAGGGCAACATTTTCTGTGGCAAACGGCTTCACACAAAGCAGTACTGTTTAAAAGTTCAGGGTCAGTTAGATTTTTCTAATGTTTTTGAAATAAGTCTCTACGGTAAAATCAATAATACTGTGAACTAAGGTTGCAAAGGGGTGGAAAATTTCCGGAAACTTTCCAAAAATCCCTGGAATATTCCAAAAACCCTTGAAATGTTTCCAAAATTTCTGGAATGTTTCAGAAATTTACTGGAAATTTTCCACCTTTTTGCAACCCTACTGTGAACTATTATTACAATTTAAAATAACTGTTTTCTATTTGAATATATTGTAAAATGTAATTTATTCCTGTGATCAAATCTGAATTTCCAGCATCATTACTCCAGACTCTTCAGTGTCACATGATCCTTCAGAAATCATTCTGATATGCTGATGTGGACCTCACGATCATATTTATTATTATTATTATCAATGTTAAAAACAGTTGTGCTGATTATTATAAATGTGGAAACCTGATCTATATTTTTTCAGGATTCTTTGATGAATAGAAAACTTGAAAGAACAGCATTTATTTGAAACAGAAATCTTTTGCAACATTATAAATTAAAGCACTTTCATTTCTGATCAATTTAATGCATCCTTGCTGTATATAAAATTAATAACTTTATATAGTTTTAATCTCACTGACTCTTATATTTATTGTGATACTTAAATATTAATACTTACCTCATCTTTTTCTTTATTATTGTTCTGTTTGGCCTCCTCTGCCTCTGCTTTCACTCTGTGTTATGAAATATTCTTATGAGTCCCCCATTTTCAGTGCAATTGTACAGTCTAGTTACACATTTAATTACACAGTTCATGCAGCAACAGCTTCTCATGAAAAACATGCACATTAAGGTGGCCTTTACCTAGGTGGCCTAAATCACCTGTGGCTACTAACCTGAATATGTCATGTTTGATTTATTCTAAAATTCGGCTACTACCACATGATAACTAGATCCTGAACAACTGCATATGAATGCAGCCCTTTGGCGTTTTTGTATTATTTGGTTGAAACAATGACTCACTTTTTGAGTTCCTCCTCCAGCTCCTTGTTTTTCTCCTCTAGTTTGGCTTTGGCCTGCAAAACCGCATCCAGCTCCCCCTGAAGAACCTCCTTCTCACAGGAGAGCTCATCCACACGAGCAATCAGATCGTTCTTCACCACGTTCAATGCATTTCTGCTCACACAAACAATGCGGTGTCAACAACAAAGCAACATACAACCATAAATAGACTGTAAAAAGCTACAATATTACTCACTTTGTCTCAAGCAACTGCACATTTTCCTGAATGAGATTCTCCACCTCACGACCCATGCCTGCAGGATACAACACAAAATGCTCTAATTACAGTACAGCCAAGGCAAACTGATGACAAAAGCAAAAATGTGATCATAAAAACATTGTTTAAACATTCAAAACGTTGGAGATGAGTTTTTAATGCCCTGTGTTTTCAGGTTAGACAGGTAAAGGTTGGACAGGCCACATGAATGATCTTACCGGACAGACTCGGGTGTGAAAGCGCATGCACTTGTTCGCGTCATTCCCGTTCCAATTCTCGCGTGTGTTTTCGTGACAAAACGTGGTTTGTAGAGTTGTTGTCAGCTCGTGTAGTGTGTAACCCCCAGTTGCGGATCATTTACATAGAGTCACGTAGTGTTAACACCACAATGACTTAAAGACAGACAATCAAGTCATGTATTCTGAACAGCACAGCGATCTGCCGACGTTTAAAGTCGTGTAGTGTGAACTTAGCCTTAGCTGACAACTGTCGTGTCCGGTGGAAACACGGCCCAAACATACACACTACACACTGACTAAAATTCAAAAAGTGAAAGCATAATAGGACCCCTTTAAAAGAACAGCATTTAGCTGAAACAAATGTCTTTTGTAACAATATAAATTAAACCACTTTCATTCTGATCAATTTAATGCATCCTTGCTGTATATCAAATTATTGATTTTATGTAGTATTAATCTCACGGACTCTTATATTTATTGTGATACGTAAATATTAATACTCACCTCATCTTCCTCTTTATTATTGTTCTGTTTGGCCACCTCTGCCTCTGCTTTCACTCTGTGTTATGAAATATTCTTATGAGTCCCTCATTTTCAGTGCAACTGTACAATCTAGTAACACATTTAATTACACAGTCCAAATAGCAATAGCTTCTCATGAAAAAAGACGCACATTAATGTGATAAACCACCTGTGGCTATTAACCTGAATACGTCATGTTTGATTTATTTTCAAATTCAGCTACTAAGGCATGATAACTAGAGCCGGAACAACGGCATATGAATGCATCCCTCAGGTGTTTTTGTATCATTTGGTCGAAACAAGGACTCACTTTTTGAGTTCCTCCTCCAGCTCCTTGTTTTTCTCCCCTAGTTTAGCTTTGGCCTGCAAAACTGCATCCAGCTCCCCCTGAAGGACCTCCTTCTCACAGGAGAGCTCGTCCACACGAGCGATCAGATCGTTCTTCACCACGTTCAATGCATTTCTGTGCACACAAACAAGTCGGTGTCAACAACTAAGCAACATAAACCAGTAAATAAACTGTAAAGAGTTACAATATTACTCACTTTGTCTCAAGCAACTGCACATTTTCCTGAATGAGATTCTCCACCTCACGACCCATGCCTGCAGAATACATCACAAAAAACTCTAATAGCACTACAACCGAGGCAAACTGATGACAAAGCAATAATGTGATGATAATAAAAACACTATTTAAAGATTCAAAACTTTGGAGATGAGTTTTATGTGCCCTGTGTTTTCAGGTTAGACAGGCCGTACGAATGGTCTTACCGGACAGACTCGGGTGTGAAAGCGCATGCACTGTGTGTGTTCGACAGAGAGACAGACACATGGAGAGTGAAACAGGAATGGACAGCTGTGAGGTGAGAGTTAACAGGTCACAGAAAAACCAAGAGATGCTGGAAAGAGTGGAGAGAGACCACTGACAGATCAACCACATTCAGATTAGATATAACTAGGCCCACACAGAATCTGTGCCAAGTTTGCTTAATATTATGGCTAATGTGACCTACAAGCTGGCTACTAACAATGAGTTTAGGAGGAAAAACCAGGCTTCAATTTGTGAAAAAGATTAAATAAAAACTGAGGTACAAAATTAATTTTGGGGTATGGTATAAAAATTATTTGAGGAATAAAAACTATTTTGGGGACGCTCAACATTATTATTTCTAAGTGACGATGCCTTTGTGACTGAATATTTAAAACATGTAATGCACCATTGTTTCATTAAATTATCTTGTTGGAACATGTTCATCACATCAACTGATCAATATTATTATTATTATTTTTAATAAATTACTTTTACTTGGCATGGACACATTTAGGGGACAGTGAAGACATTTATCATGTTACAGAAGATTTCCATTTCAAATAAATTATGTTCTTTTGAACTTTATATTCAACAAAGAATCCTGAAAAAAAAGTATCACAATTAAATTAATTTAAAGGAATAAACTGCATTTTCAAACTTACTAAAACAGAAAACAGTTATTATAAATTGCAATAAAATTTCACAATATTACTGTTTTTACTGTATTTTTATATATATAAAAGAAATTTGACTATTAAAAACAATGAAATTATTACTTTGAAGAGCGTAGCTTAACTTTAGATACGGTTATATTTTTTTAAGCCTTCTTTTGTTCCGCAGACGTTTTCTTCTTTTGTTTTTCCTCTATCTTTCTGTCGCTCAGCTCGCTAATGTCCGTCCTGTGCACGGAGCACTCTCTCCTCTGCATCATGAGTAGACATGCCCCTTACTGCTGATTGGCTACAAGTTTGTTTTGGTATTCGGCCCGACTCAGTTTTCTAAAGCGTTTTTTTCAGTGCACATCAATTGTACTATTACTATTGGAATATACACTAATTTTATTTCAAAAGATAGCAGGTAGGTTTGTAATAGTCAGTGAGGTAAGGACAATGTCCAAAAATGTCCAATTGTCCACGGTCTACTCTACTCTCAGTCTTGTTTAATACAATTTATGATACGTAAATCTCCATAACGCTGCAGATTTCTCTCATAATCAGTGCAGAAAATGTGAAAACGTCAGCAAATTCTGTGTGGCCTAGAGTATAAAGGCCCGTTCCCACAAAGAACGATAACTGTATAGATAACTATAAAGATAACTATATTAGCGCCCACATCAGCGGACGATATCATCTGTTTATTCTAAGCATATACTCGTCTGCCATTTTAAATTCCCGAGCTCGTTATAGCAGGATTGATTCTGACAGGGTGTCAATGTTTTTAACCTTCATCAGTAAATTAATTTAAAGGAATAAACTGCATTTTCAAACTTACTAAAACAGAAAACAGTTATTATAAATTGCAATAAAATTTCACAATATTACTGTTTTTACTGTATTTTTATATATATAAAAGAAATTTGACAGTATTAAAAACAATGAAATTATTACTTTGAAGAGCGTAGCTTAACTTTAGATACGGTTATATTTTTTGACAGCTACCCCTCTAATGGAGTTGATTGTAATACTTTTTACTCCTTGCATTAAATTAAATATTAGAATTAAAGGTGGGGTAAGTGATTTCTGGTAGCCAATGTAAACTGCTGGCGCGTTCTATTTATGACGTACTGACACAAATTTCAAATGATTTTCAAGGTCGCTTTGGTTGTCCAGTGTAGACAGACTTTATGCTAAGTTCACACTACAGGGAGTTAAGGACAATGTCCAAAAATGTCCAATTGTCCACGGTCTACTCTACTCTCAGTCTTGTTTAATACAATTTATGATACGTAAATCTCCATAACGCTGCAGATTTCTCTCATAATCAGTGCAGAAAATGTGAAAACGTCAGCAAATTCTGTGTGGCCTAGAGTATAAAGGCCCGTTCCCACAAAGAACGATAACTGTATAGATAACTATAAAGATAACTATATTAGCGCCCACATCAGCGGACGATATCATCTGTTTATTCTAAGCATATACTCGTCTGCCATTTTAAATTCCCGAGCTCGTTATAGCAGGATTGATTCTGACAGGGTGTCAATGTTTTTAACCTTCATCAGTTGGAAAAAAATCGTTCTGAAAGTGATTCCAACGATATCGTTTCTCTGTGCCTTTATCGTTATAGCTGTGGTGTGCACTCTGCTATTCTTTAATATTTAGAACGATTTTTAGAACTATATCTTTATCGTTATCTTTATAGTTATTGTCCTTGGTGTGAACGGGCCTTAACACTATCATTCTGCGCTACATCATGCTATAGTAGTGGAAAAAGTTCATATCATGTTGCTGCCATAAGGTTGGCACTATTTGCAGTTAAAGAGGAAAGTATGGAGAAGTGTAAGGAACGAATGAAAGATTCAGATACAAAAATGATGCTAATTGAAACACAAGCAAAGATTCACTGACAGAAAGCAGCAAGGATGTCATACACACCGGAGTACTCCACTGCGGTTAGAGGGAAGATCAGGATAAGAGGGCATGGAGAGAGAAATCTGGGTCAGTTCAACATGCAAACAGAGCATCATGGGACTGTGCCACCATCACAGAGCTCATCTCATTATGATGGCAAATGGCACATATTTAAAGGAACCTAAAAATAAAATAATTTGCTGAAAATGTGCTCACCCTCAGGCTATCCAAGATGAAGATGACTTTGTTTCTTCATCAGGAGAGATTTGGAGAAATGCATCGTTACATCACTTGCTCACCAATGGATCCTCTGCAGTGAATGGGTGCCGTCAGATTGAGAGTCCAAACAGCTGATAAAAACATCACAATAATCCACAAGTAACTCCAGTCCATCAATGAACATCTTGTGAAGTGAAAAGCTGCATGTTTGTAAGAAACAAATCCACCATTAAGACGTTTTTAACTTTAAACCATTGCTTCTGGCCAGAAAATACCATAATCCTTAATAACGATCAATATCCACTGACATATTTGTTTTGAACGGTGTTGGACCATTTTCACTTGTAAACGGTACTTGATCCAGGGGCGCCGCTAGCAATTTTGGGCCCTATGAAAGAATATGAGGTTGGGCCCCCTACCCAGGGCAGGACTTAGGGGGGGCGGGGGCCCCTGGGCTTGAGGTTGTGTTTGGGCCCTATACCTACACTACAAATGCCCTCAAATACAACATCATTATGGAGTAACACAAAATACACAATAAAAAAAAAGCCAGAGATGTTGGCTTATTAGTATTATAAAAGTTATTGTCATATCTGTGTCCTCTTATGTCAGGTTCTTATTTAATCAATAAATTCAATCGAATAAAAAGACATGCTGGCTATTAGGCCTAACAATCAAATTAAATCGCTATTAACAAAATTCATAGATGAATTGTGCATAAATGTTAAGTTTAAATATAATATTTTAATGTAGAAATATTAAATTGCAAAAATGTATCTACTTTTTAAAATATGAAACTACAACCGCCAGTAGGTGGCAGCAAGTGACTGTCTTAATGAGTGAGTTGAATCAACCGATTCGTTTAAAATAATGATTCATTTAACTTTGCAAATGACTGTACTTATTGCCTGATTGAATCGCTGGTCCGTGTAACGCTGAGAAGCAAAACACTGTTGTTCGGAGACGCAGCGGTTCTGCTGTTTGCTCTATTTTCTTTCTGATGGAGCAAAACTGAATTTTGTGTCTGAAAGTTACTCTGTAAGTTGTTCTTTACTGTACATTTGCGATCATGCAGATATTCGAGAAAGAAAAAAAAACAGGACTCTTGTTTGTGTGATAGGCTATTTATTTTTCATTAAATTGCTATTTTTTATTTTAAATCATTTTGATGACATTTCTTCCCCACTGTGTGTAATGGCAGTAAGACGAGAGAGAGCGCTCAAAACTCTGAGATGATCTGAGATGATCGCATAATTTAGTGGAACAATAATATAGTAATATAGAATCATCCTCTGTAAAGAAATGAGGTGTGAACATTTGAGAATTTATCATTATCTTTCTAAATGTGCGCTCTTTGGGGCTAAAGGCTTAATGGAGTTGGTTAAAGTAGCCATGTGATTTAACAAACAAATATCAGTGCAGACGCGATTCAATACGTGTGTCCTTCTTCTATGTGAAATAATCATAAATACCAGTTTATGCTGTTTGATTGTGGCCTCGAAGGTCGTAGTTGTAAGCTGTAGCCCCGGCTGGCCCGTTTAGATCTTGCGTGCGCAGTGGAAATGCGGCTAATAATTTCTGAATTCTGACTGGCATATAACGA